TATATTGACTACCTAGGTGCCTAGTGATCACTATGGATTAATGTCATCTGAAGAAGCTATGCATTTTCTGAGGCCCAAGGGAATATGGATATTTTAATCTCCTTAGGGAGCATCTGTAATTTTTAGGCAGTCGCTAGCGACGCTATTTCAATCACTTTGAGATAAAGTAGGTTGACAGTAGGCAACACCCGTTTATAACAGCTCCAGGTAACAGCAAGTGAGGTTGTCCTAATGGATTCAACTTACACATACTTACGGAGTACAAATTGCACTATCATACTCGCGAGGTCCTCGCAAAGGCTTATGATCTGTCCATCTATTACTTACAGCCATCGATCGGTAAACCAATTGCCTTTGGCTAAGTACAATAGGTCTGCTTCGGCCCAGTCTTCTGTTTCGTTCTTAAAGTTAAAATTCTCATGACAGAAGAAGCAGCGATAATGACTAAGCTTATTAATCATTCATGCCAGATCTTAACATACATGGTATTTCGATTGCCACCACTCACCTGATCATGATTGGAGGTTCTTGGAACTCAAATAGATTGATGGTGGATGATTCGATCCTTGCGCGATTTGCCGAGCATTCAAGGGAACGGGCTGTCAGTCTCCCCATCAGTGGTCAGATAGGGCCCTTTGGAGGTCTATGATACGGAGTCCTACAGTCCTACTAAGGATTTAGGCCCCTACAGTCCTTGGCGCCAGGCATTCGATATATTAGTATCTGGACAACATCTTGATGCACTGAACTCAAAAGATTTCGCATCATACTCGTCGTTTCACATAATTATCTTTCATCTGGACAATATACATTCGACAAAGCTATTCGATTTAAATTAGCAGACATGGCTAGGAATCGACCTTTTCGCAAGAAACTCGAGACTGTGGGCGCCATAGCCTTGGTTTATCCTCTCGTGGCATTCTGGATTAGCATGACCTTCACACTCAAGACTATCGACAGAACATTTAGTCTCGTCTACGATGCCAGAAACCGTTATCGAGTCAAGACTCGCCGGCTTCGGAAGTCAAAGCCACTGGCCACGGTACCCAGGGTCAAATCGGCCAAATCTGTTCCGGGAACGGGAACGTCATTCCTGCATCTGCCACCGGAAATCCGTCTTGAGATATACAGAATGGCGCTTGGAGGCCCTAAGATTTTTCAAGTGTCTTCGTTTCATTCCTTCTTGGGCCCGATGCCGTCAAGCTGGGAGCGCGGACAACACGTCCGCGGCGATGATGAAGGGTCTAGCGAAGTGCTCGCCGAGATCCTCGCGCTGGGCGGGTCAGCGTTGAAGCAGCTGGTTGCGCCGCCCAGCCACGGGTGCGTGAGACACAGCTGTGTGTCGGAACTGATCTGCGGCGGGGAACACTTCCTCCGGCCGGGCTGGGTGGAGCCGGAGTCGGAAGTGTTTTTCACGGACCTCATGCGCACCTGTCGTACGGTCTATTGCGAGGTCCTCGATATGCTGTACGCCGATAACACAGTCTCCTTATTCGGCGTGGAAATGGTGCGTTATTTCAGCCGCAACGCGAGCCCGGAGGGCCTCCGTAGAGTGCGGTTCGTACACGTCGCTTTGATTATGCCCTCGGATAGCTGGGACTCGGCGCGTCAGAAGAAGAGTATCGAGGTGGCTGTGCGCACGCTGCGGAACTGCCTTCCCAGCTTGCAGCAGCTCGATGTTGAAATAGTGCTGATGTGGGATCAGCCAAAGAATCCACGCCGCCTGTGGGATTGGCTGAGGGAAGATGTTTTGGGGCAACTCGGGGGACTGGAAAGGTTCGTGTTGAAGACGGCGGTGTATATGACATCTGGGCATTTGGGCCCCAATCATCAGCAGTGGGTTCCGCCGTATGAGAGGTTGAGTTCGTGGGATGATGCTGAGTACCAGGCCTTGAAGGTCAAGGTGACGACCCCTAAATCGTCATCAGATCTAGCCGCAATACCTTGAGCTATCACGAAAATTCACACTTATACTACAGTGAATCATTATTATACAGTGCTGTTGAAGAATATGTGGGTAGCTAAGCCATCTGACTACAGCTATTTGACCTTCTCTGCCCCTTCAAACTCAGATGGTGGTATAAGAAAGAGTGATTCGAAAACCATGTCACCGCGCAAAGTGTCGTCAATGAAGGGAAAATCACTAGGACCAATAACCAGCCCATTGGAGTGACGGTGTCGCGACCGAGGAGGTATTGATAAGCCGCAGGTATGTTTTGGATGGCAGCCAATGCGCTTGATATTATTTTGAGAAGTTTGGCTAATGTGAGTCTATCTCAGGGAGAACGCGTTAGTCCTTAGCAGAGTATTTCATCTATCCGGAAAGACCTTTCGTAAGATGAATTTAGCAACACAGTGGAAATAGTCTCTAGCCATATTGTTCTTCCACGATAACAATACACAATCGAATTGTTGTCCTTGAATAGTTAGTTAACTTTATGTGAACTGTTCGTGTACAATAGAGCCACCCTTATTAATCCTTTAATCAATTCAAGAATAGACTCAAAGGGGTTCCGCAATGAAAAATAAATTTATAATGGACATATCTTCCCAACAACCTTTCTACTTGATATAAGCTTCAATACGTGCCATAAAAGACTAAAGATTGAATGAAGGAAAAAGAAAGAAAAAAAACAAAGCTGCGGTGAGTGCGGATCGAACGCACGACCTTCAGATTAACCTAAGGACTGAGGTTTGACTTCAGTCTGACGCTCTCCCAACTGAGCTATCCCCGCTTGTGTTAAAGGCCAAATTGTATTGGTACATATGTCGCCGATTCGCAGGTGACACTCGTCACCCCAGTCATCCCTACTAGAGACGCACCATTACTACCTAGGTAGTTCGCGTAGTTCGCGTAGGTCACCTACAATTACCCCATAGTTCAGTGGTTGTACAAAGACACTACTTACCTACCTTCGAATTGCCAGGTTTGATTAAGGATACCTACAATGTCAGGCGAATGTCTATCCGCTGCACTAGAGCAACACCATCAGGTGAGCTGCAAGGCGTCAGAGCCTGTCTGATGCCGAGGTAGCTATGATCTCTCATTGCCAGACGAAAGAGGGTGGGTGGCATAGGAGCTTTCTAGGATGAAGACAGCCAAACCACCTAACTTCTCAAGAGGGCTTCAGCGACAAGTTCACCTTTTGCTATGATTGGCACTAGCACAGCGAAGACAATTTCGTGGCTAAGGCTGCTGCCCAACTGCTAAATGGAGCCCTGGAGTCAAAAGACTACATGACAACATCTCTTCTGATGTCCGAGGCATCCTGGATCTCCAATTCCTCCTCGTGTCCGGCTCTTGTACCAAGACTAACTGTCGGAATGTTGTTCTAGTTGAAAGACAGTCCTTATGCGCCCTGATCTGCAGGGGATGAGGCACTTGATATTGATATGGAGTTTGCTGGACAATTGCTACAACGCGTCGTTGCGTACGTTGATCACCGTTCTGCTCTTTATTTCCACTCGAGCATCGCTGGCGTCTCATCAAGGCGTTTTGACCCGGCTTGTAACTTCTTATGATTGACAGAGAAATCGTACAATCCAACCGCCCTAGATGGTTTCTCGCTCACATTTTGCCGCTCTCGAAACAGGGCGTCAGCTCTGATTGCGCAACTTTGGCAATATATGGTTTTGAAGCGACAAAAAGGGCGGCCTCTTTTCATAGCAGAGTACGGTTCGTCCTTTCGTCTTAGGCAAAGAGCTATCTGAGGAAAGACCTCGAAGCTTTGATACAGAATAAGAGATCGATCGCCAAATCCTGTGCACTCAAGATGAAGAAGAATGCTTTTGTGGGCCGAAGACAAGCTTTATAGTCGGTGGACAGAGGATCAAGTTGCGTCGCCAGGTGGTGCGTACGAGACTGAAGATGAGGTGCTTTCAGAGCACTAGAATCCGGATGGCCTGGGTTGATGGACCCTGTGCAAAGCTCAAGCACCAAATTGAAGATGGTACCGCTTCTCCTATCCATGCAGCCATTTCGGATTCGACACTGGGAGGTCCTCCTGCAGAACAACAAGTGAAGCTGGCTAAAGGGACGGAAAAGCAACACTAGAACACGTATAGCAGACTCCCACCGCAGCAATGCTTTCCCACTTTCGAGGATTATCAACCACAGAACAACCGTGCACTCAATATCAAGAGACTTGGGGTTACTGTCAGAGAGCTGTGTAATGGCGAAGAGGTCAAGGTGCAAACAAACGGCTTTATACAAATCTTCATGAGATCGGATCGGGACGCTTTGCAGTTTCGCACGAGCAAGAGTGCTGCAGCAAAGTTGCGAAACAATGGCCATCCTGCGCCTACCTATACATTTTAAAGAAAGCAATATAACATTGATGGCTGGTGGAGAGGTCGTTCACCAGAAGACAAATCTAATTAACTGCTGTAAAAGAGCACCTTGAGCCGCCCCTCCACACCCCCACTCTAGCCTAACAGCAGATAACTTCGACACACCAAACTTTGCGCATTCTTTGATGTAACGATGTTAGATCTAGTACTTATGCCTCCTGCCAATGTACGTGATAACATATGCATATTGGACTATGCGCTCTCTCATCCGTCAGTATCCTTGGTATTTGTGGAGGTGCTGCTTTGACACGGAGGCATGGCGAGAAGTGGTAACCACAGATTCAGAAGGAGATCGAAGTAATGAGCATCTGACCTAGAAGTAGATTAGGAAAGTCCCACCACAAAGATTATCTGACCCGTATGGCCGTGCCCGTTTTTGAGCAGAGTTTTATATGAGGTATGGAAAATAATATCTAAAATTCTCAGGATTGTTTGCATACACCCGGAGCTTCCATGGAACTGCATCCTTTATTCCCTTTCATATACACACATGCTGAACGATCTTAAGATCTCTATCTACCAAGATCTGCTAAAAGCGCTAGGCCTGGTCTGGTTTAGGAAAGCCCATTCATTGGCCAAAATTCGGGCATCTTTAGCATAGATGGGTATAGGCTACAATTAGACAGCAACATCACAACTTCACCCAATCAGCGGGGATAGCTCAGTTGGGAGAGCGTCAGACTGAAGTAAAACTTCAATCCTTAGGTTAATCTGAAGGTCGTGCGTTCGATCCGCACTCACCGCAATTTCTCTTTTTGCCCTTGTTTCCAACCTTCAAAATGTCACGAACTCTGCTGGCGCGGTTTTCAGGAATACTGATGTTTTCCGGTAGAGTGATAGGGGGAGGCAAGACCTTTTTGGCCAGGCTAAATCAGCTAAATAATGGTTTATGACTCTACATGAATCAAAGGGTACCGCATCTATCTTGACGACAGTGACCCTATGTTCAGCCGTTAGAGAGGATTCCGATGAGCTTCGGATACTTCAAGGCAGGGGGGGCGGCTACAATTGGAAGTATTGGGTTAGAGAAAAGGTTAAAGCAGCAGGGAATCAGGAGCTTCACAAGTACTGGTACTCGGGGCTTTTAGAAGTTGGACTCCAAGAATCAGTCTCCCGACGAGGTTTTCTCGATTTGCTCCTTTTACTCTAATCACAACAAGCATCGCAGCGGGCATAGTTAATACGGGGCCGTCCATCGAGAGTATGAGGCTCTTTTCGATGAAGCAAGAATTGTCTTGAAGAGAGGCGCATGACAAACACTGGGATCAATGCTGTACTGGATCGATAACTGTTCCACCAACAAGAACAGTGATATCTCCTTTAGTCTTTACATGGAGACAGCCTTGCCTGTTCACCAGTTAAACCCTCTCTAGCCATCAAATCTTATCATACCAAAATCAATACCAAGTATGTAATAAAAGGTGACGATAAGCCGTTCTGGGGAAATGATACTTGGTCAGTTATAGAATAAAAAGGATCGAGACGGAGTATACCGCAGTGAGTATTCGCAGAGGCATATGCCACTTCAAAGACTCAGAATGGATGCTATGTTCCTGGACAGCAGGTTCACTGGTCCCTTCGGCTTATCACAGTTATGATATCTTAAAACACTCCTGTCCTAATTATTGCTTCTGTGCATTGTCACTATAGTTACTTTTGGTTCATAATCATTATCATTACAGTATGCATGTATCTAAAATCGCAAGAGTATCCATCCACACCTATACCAGACGCATCCCCTAATCCGTCATCTCTCAATAAACGTGACATCGTACATAATCATCTCTTTGACATCCAAGCATGGCCCAGAGGCTATATATGCCAGGAGCGGGATCGCAGTCCTAGCCATCTCAGTAGTTTCTATGTCTCCGACTACCGCTAGCCCGTCGCAAATCCCTCCCATCCATCTCCCGTGAATAGTACGCAGGCGGCGGGGGGCGCGGACTCCTATCCCGCTGTTCATAGTAAACGGGCCGGGTGACCTCAACCACGGACGTGCGCCGCGGACTATGATGGCGCGAGTGATGGGAGTGCCGCGAGCGCGACCGGTGCCCGTGCGTCTCGCTCGGATACCGGTAGCCGCCGGCGTAGTGCGTCTTCTCGCGCTCGCGCTCGGGCTCGAACGTCGAGCCCCAGCCCCCGGGCCGCCCCAGGTTCGAGCACGAGCGGATGATCCACAGGAGCAGCAGGAGCCCGGCGATGGAGCCGATCACGATGCCGGCGATCGCGCCGCCCGAGAGGTGCGTGCTGCTCGAGTCCTCGCTGCCCTGGACGATGGTCGTGGTCGCCTGGCGGGCCGCGAGGACTCTGGTGATGGCTTGCGAGAGAGTTCGCGTGGGCGTGGTTTGCGAGGCTTCGCGTTGGAAGAGGCGGCCGATGGTGCTACCGGGCTCCAAGGCGGGTAAAAGAGGAGCCATGGCTCAATTGTCTTTCGGCGCAAAGTGACTGACTGGTTCGTTTCGCTCCTGGTTGTCAATTGCTAGCTTGTGCAAGGAACCTGCCTCGATGCTATTCGCTACTAGAAATTGAGTTTCTGGTTGGCACAGGTACAGAAGCTAGATGATAGGAAAGACATGAATCGCGAGGGGAGAGAGGACAATGGCGCTGATGTAGGGTTGACATCCTCGACTATGAACGACGAATGATGACGACATAGGTGCGAAATCGAGTTCCTATAACGGGACAGCCGGGAAGAAGAGGAGGCTGGGCAGTTCATCTCTAGATCGGGATGTCTGCATGGCAAGTGTGTTCGCAGGTCGTAAGTTGGTTATGCACGTAATCGGCGTTCCTTGGCCTTTAGCTTCTTTTCGCGGGAGACGCTCCGGGAGACTAGGTGAGCTAGGCATTTCCATTGGTCACTGTAACCTCGAACAAGGATTGCGGCTCTTGATATCTTGATCGGTCACCATGGTGCATCGTAAATATCAAGCGGAGTGTGGAATTCTACAAGATTGGGTTAGAAATTGATATCTAGATCTTTCGTAGCTTCATGTCATTAACGTTGAGAGAATACCTGTTTGAAACTGGTAGATTTCTACAATAGATGTCGAAGCTTGAACTTGATCAACTTGCATACATGTATAGTGTTAGTTTATGTTGGAGTTGTACAGTTAAAAGGACTATAGTTGCAGCCAAGCACTATGACTTCATAGGATTTTAGTATCTTCCATATGTACCATATCAATATTATAGGTTGGCCAGATGAATCTTAGAAGTCGAGTTGATAGTCCTTCTCTATGATGGTTGATAGCTTTCTTGCGATTGAGATTATACAGTGATAACATTAGCAAATCGTCGTTCCTATTCACCTCGTTGTTTAGTACTACGAGCTTACACCCCCTTACATGTGAGTGATAGTTCCCACGGTCACAGATGAAGTCACGCTAGAGCATAGCACTTCATCCCTTCTCTTGCTGAAGTAAGATATTCTCATGGCGGCGTTCACACACATGTTTGGGGTAAAAATGGTGATATATGGTTCGATCCTCGCAAGGAAGCGATATACTTATCTTTATCTTTGACGATTTCAATAACTATTTATAAGAAGAGATATGTATGGTATAGGAAAAGAATGTAGCACTTGGTAAGGTGACTAGGGAATACCATAGGACACTTTACGAGCGCAAAGACCGAAGACGCACCACTTTCATATCAGCACCTGAAACCTGAACTACTTGATAACATAGACGAGGTGCTTCCAAAAAATATACTTATGTGTATTAGTTAATTATACTGTGTACGACTGTTAAGACATTGACCCCTATTCAACACCCTTCGACACCCTTCCGTTCTCTTCGGCAGCCATCTGTGTCCCTTCTTCCATCTATTCAGCCAGATTTCAGCTGATCTACGACCAAGGCGGCTCCGGTGCCGAATCCCATTCAACAATCACCCCAGGATGATTCTGTATCCTCGTCTCCAGGTCAAGGAGAAATCCCAGGCGTCTTCTCGTTGCAAGGCGCGCAACCGCTTCACACCGGTAACGGCGGTATCGTCGGGGCCATGCTCATCGCCTGTGCGATTTGGGGTTGCTGTGTGATGAGGCCCGCAGGATCAGGCATACGGAGCTTGACTTCATTGTCCTGCTGGATGAGAGCGCAGCAGCGGCACCAGTATGCCGTGCAGTAGTCATCGATCTCGCCGCCTTCGATGCCGAACCGAAGGCGGATTTCGCTACGTTTGAGCATGACCCAGCTAGTAGGTACGATGATCTGTTAGCAGCGCAAGATAAGGGGATAACATCAATGAAAAACGTACACCCATCCATATCCCGTAAGGGAATGCAATACCCCATGAATTAGGCAGTCGACATTGAGCATATCGGGAGCCAGGGAGGAAGGATCGATCAGTCGACTGGACGTCTGGCCGATAACTGTGGGAAATGCTCGTCAGCTTGAACTGAGGAAGAGCCCAGGTAAGCAAAGACGTACGGAAACACGGGATGAACGTGGCTAGGACGCAGCTCATGCATGGCGAGCAGTCGCACAAGTTGTGTTTCCATTTTCCACCGTTTAGACCTAAGTTGTCCTGAATCTGCTGAACTTGAAGTGCCGTGGGAAGATTAGCTTGTCCCGGGACAGCTCTCGCGGCCAACGCTGAGATTACCGATCCTATCGTGTAAATGTAGTAGGTACTATGGGAATCTGGGTGCGATGGACTGGTTTCCTGCGGAAGAGATTGGCTAGGCTGATGCGGGCAGTGTAAACATACGGTGGAAATATTGGAGCCAGCCTCGAAGGGAGTGAAGGGATAAATGTCTCTAGAATTATTGGTTGATATAAAATATACATATAAGGTCTATAAGATATCCAGAAGGCCTGATAGTGTTAAATTTCATGGGACCATGTTTAGCCAGTATGGACTTGCTTGTTCTAGTGAGGGATAGGTTTAGGTAAGGTTGCTACTTACAACTTTTAACACTGTTAAGTATGAAGTCAAGATAGCAATGATCCTGTGTCGCTCCTTGCTCAACTTCGCCAGTGCTTCCTAAAGCCTCAACTGTAGCGTAGGGGACTGAGGAAAGTGATGTACATGTATATATTGGATTCGTCTAAACTAGTTGTATTTGGCTCATCTTCAGTTACCCAGGTATCTATCATCAACACGATCAGTAGGCCTCAAGCCATGTTGTGTCGTAGGTTCACATTCACATTCCAAGTGTGCATTCACGGTTTATTTCCCTGCCTATTGAAGTCTCACACCAGTAGACCTACCAAGCCAAAGGCTATGGGTATGACTTCGGCGGGAAGCCCGTTCGTTTTCCTTTGCTATCAAATGCTTGGTTTTCATGGGTATCGCAAGGCAATTGCTATGATATAGGGTCCTTCCACTTGCTTTCTTAATGCTCAAGACTCAGCTTCCGGCATTTAGCCCCGTGCTCACGACTTTGCTCATGATAACATAATCAGGGACAAACTCCTTCCCGAAACGTAGCTTTCTCGGTTCAGGCGACAGGGCATCTTTCTCGAATCCTGACTTCTTATAGAATCCGAGAGCTTTCTGGTTGCTGAGAAAGCAGGTCAGCATGACCTTCTTGATAGGAGGCGTGTGGACAGCAACACGCTCATGGAAGCCCATGAGTATCTTCCCTAGACCGGTCCTGCAGAAATTCAGCAGTATTAGTGTATGAGATTCCATCAAGGTATGCATTTGTCGCAAACGCCGTAGGTAAAGAAACTTGTTAATGCATACCCTTGCAGCTCCGGCTTGAGGTGGATCTCATAACAGTAGACGACAGGCTCCCCC